CGTTGGTCTGAGGGTGGTATGGTGCGGAATGCCGATACTGGCACCCACGAAGCCATACCAACTGTTCGACAACGTCAGCGGTAAATACCGGTCACGATCACTTATCACCACACGAGGGGCCCCGTGAAGGAGTATAATCAAGCGCAGAAGTAACTATGACACATCAGATGCTGAGGCTGAAGCAAACACCATCACTTCAGTATACCGCGTCAGCTGATGTACGCACCCGATGATCCAGCGGCGGCCGGTGGCATACATTGGGAAGGGACATAGTAAATCTATGTCGACTTTTTCATATGGTGATGTCGGTGGCTTAACTGGTAGCAGTGCGCCGGCCAATGACATGGTAGGCTGTTTGTGGCGTTGGGAGCCATCAAAACTCACGACTTAGGGTTTGGCGGTCTTCCAAAGTTGAGGCCAGTGGAAACGTTGTGGGATACGGTGAAATGTCTGGGCAAATCTAAGGTGCCCAAAAGTGATGTCAACTTGCATGGCTTAGAATACCGCAAGACGCAGGCATACTGGAATGACGAGGAGCAGTTTGGCACCATGGCTAAAGTAGCTCTTGCGATCAAGTAGACCGCCATGAATCACAAATGGGGTAGTGCCTTTAGAGTTACGAGCCACATCGATCATTGGTTTCAGCGACGGGTCATGCTGTTTCTCGTGACGGAAGACGTCCAAATTTGGGAAGTTGTAGGAGATTGCGGCCAGGTAGTTATCGATGTTTTCAGCATCAGTTTTCCTAGTAGGTGATAGAAGACGAGATAAGCAGCCAGCATCTTGGTGGCATCGACCTTTCTTGAAGGTCACAGAAAAATTATATTCTTGAAGCCGCAAGGCCCAAAAAGCCAACCCGCCAGCTGAGTCGCGTAGTCCGGAAAAGCAACAGAAATAATGAAGATCTGTGACAATTTCAAATTGCTGGCCATACAAATAAGGACCGAACTTTTGCACAGCGAAAACAACCGCAAGGCTTTTCAGTTCTGTGACCGCATAATTCCTCTCAGCCTTAGTCAAAGTACGACTTGCATGCACCACGACGTGCAAGCGGACGTCACGATACTGAACTAGCGCGGCACCAACACCGATACCACTAGCATCTGTATGCACGACTGAAAATAGCGCTAAGAAACGGCGACACAAGAAGAGGACACACGGCACAGGCGCTAAGAGAGGTCTGTAAGTCAGCAAATACATTAGCTGCTGAAAAGCAGCCTCACACTGAACGGTCCATCGGAATGGGGCGTTTTTGCTGAGAAAGTCTGTCAGCGGATGAGGAAGCTGGGCGAAGTCTTTGATAAACCGGCGAAAATGAGAACACAGGCCCATGAAGCTAGCAAGATCCTTCACAGTCGTTGGTTGTTTGAAACTGCGGACAGCATTGATAGTTTGTGAGTCTGGTGCTATACCATTCCTGTCGACTGGATATCCATACACAAGTGCGTGAAGCTCACCAAAATTACACTTCTTTGTGTTTAAAATGAGACCAGCTTGTTCAAAGCAGTCTAAAACAACGCTAATCTAATGGTTGTGCTCGTGACTGTCTTACTGAAATTAATTACGTCGTCGAGGTAACACATACATATCTCCCATTTGAGACCGAGTCGGATCAAGTCCATGAATCGTTCGAAGGTGACTAGGGTGTTACATAAGCCAAACGGCATAACCTTAAGGTCATATAACCCATCAAGCGTGACCAAAGCAGTCTTCTCACTGTCAGACGGATTCATTGGTACCTTCCAGTATCCGGACCTTAGGTCGAGGGATAAAAAGTATGCGGCCAAATTAAGACAATCATCAGCCTCGACGATGCGTGGTAGCGAATACACGTCTTTCTTCGTGACGGCGTTGAGACGGCCGTACTTGACACAAAATCCCCAAGGTTGACTTTCTTTTTTACCAATATGACAGCAGCGGCCAAGGGACTGCTCGACCCTTCAATAACGCCTTTCTACTGCATGTCATTGACCTGCTCGGCAATTACTTTCTTTTCTGACGGGGATATACAATCGCGTTTCTGGGGTATCGGCGTAGCATGTTCCGTGTTCATGCGGTGGTGCATACGCGATTTGCTGAACATCGAACAGTGCATGTATTGAAGGAAATCAAAGACTCCCGCGTAGCGTGTAAGCACCTCCTCGAGGACAGCCTGCTCAGAAGAAGGCAGACTTGTTCATGATGCGTTTTATCTCGGCTGAGCAGTTGCGCAATGGATTCTATAGGACCATTCTGACGTCAGCTGTGGCCTGCTTCTCAAACGTCCCCAGTTTAGATTCAGCTGGTAGAACAACAAACAGGCTCTCAGGCTGCGTTGAGCCCCCACAAGAAAGCATGTCCGTTTATGGCTGAAAGGACAGATCATTGTATCAGCACATTCTTCTTGATGGCGTTTGTATGATCGGGCTCGACAAGTGCAGTGCAGGGTCCTGAGCGGGCATGAGAAGAGCATAGGAAACAAATACTGCTGTCCGACCAGGGATCGTCACATCTTCAGACAACAAAAGCGTGTCGATGGTAAAAGTAAAAAAAATCGCCAACAATCGCAGTGGGCAACGTACTTTTTAGAAGAATTTCTTTAGTTTCGCAGTCAAGCGTAGCGCCGCATTCACTAAAGAGGTTCATCCCTAGAATGACGTCATGAGTTGCGCGAGCCACTAAAGTGAATTCAAGTCAAAAACTTTGTCCACCAACCGTGAGAACAACTGAGCAAATACCAACAGGACATCACGCTTCGCCTTGAACTCGACGAAAAGTTTATTTACGATCACATGCGAACATGATTTTGTGACCCAAGAAACGATGCCCGAAACGAACACTCATAACCGAAATAGCAGCACTGGTGTCTACAAGAGCAAGAGTATCTACACAGTCTATACACGCCCGCACTTTGTTGATTATTATCACAGCAGAAGGAAGCATTGGCGAAACCGACCACGCTGCGGCCGCACCTACATCGGTCGCCCCAGCTAGTTTCTCAGCTGATGCGGGAAATGCAACCGACAACGCGGAGACGGCGACTGGCGGGAACGTGTCAGAGGTAGCGTCAGATTTCGCTCACATGCAGCGGCCTTGCTGCGTGATTTTTTAGGCCACTGTCTTTGGGGACGGTTGTCGGCCGGGTAAGATGTCCGGGTTTCGTGCACACGAGCCGGGTACGTAGAACCACGTCGTGACGTAGGTGTTTCGTGGATACGAGCCAGGTACGTCGTAAAACGTGGCGGTGCAGCCAGCATGCTGTAACAGAAGCGCGAATAGTGCCCTGGGAGACCGCATGTGTAGCAAGTGGGGACTTGTCGGCGTATGTTGGCAGGAGCAGAGGTGGCAAAAATACGCGGAGAAGGGTCTTGGTCTGCAGGAACATTTCGTGACCGCGGATAGTAGTCTTCTGGCAGAAGCCTGGTTTACGACGATGAGAGGTGCACGGCGGCACGTCGAGATGTTGACATCCGGTGTTGACCGTGACCCTTCGGTGAAGGCGGAATTTGTGGGGTAAATTCTGCAGTTTCAGTGCGTGGACGGTTGTCGACGTGGCGCTCTTGCATCAAGTACGAAGATGGTTTGGGGCACGCGGCAAACGATTATTGGTGATGAGCGTCACCTGCTTGAAGCAGTGTGAGCTTTTCTCTAACTACCCGACGTACGAGGAAGGGAATGGCTTCGCAGGCAGCGACGTCCTTACTTGCAACAGTGCGAACATTGTCCATGCGCCCGACAATGGGTAAAATTCTCCGAGTCTTCAAAGCCTTGATTGCGCGACACTCCTGCCGGAAAGCAGAAGGACTGTTCAGGTTTTATTTCGTTAAGAGAAAATTGTAGACGTCCTCTGCGATGTCTTTTAACAAACGGCTGACTTTATCATCGTGAGACATATTTGCGTAAACAATCCCGCAAAGCTTCGATGCCTCTTTATTATTGGTCGGGCACGCTTCGACGGCAACTGAGCCCTAGGTGAGAGCGTTCGCTCAGCTTTCTTTATCATAAAGCTCGTGTCCCCAAAGCAGGCCTTCAGTTCCTCAACAAATATACCCCAAGTGTTGAGCACATGTTCATGGTTCTCAAACCAAAGCAAAGTGGCGCTGTCAAAGAAGAACACAACGTTCACAAGGTTCGCTGGCGCGCCCAATTCGTAGTAGCGGCTCGCTTTATCGTAGTGCTTTAGCCAAGCATCCACGTCTTCATCAGTTTTTCCTGAGAATATCCTTGCTTCAGGTGCCCTGCAGTTTGGTTGTCGAGGTCGACGACCACCTTGAGCCATGTCGGTGGCACCCAGTGGATGCAGTAGCGTAGCCCGTCAACGGGCTTGCTGTGTCATCCTTCATGTTCATCTTGTCCGGGGGTAGCCCAGCTAAGCGTCTGCTTCTTCGAAGGTCTTCTGCGGTGGAGTAGAGGACGGCGAATTACCCAGCACTGCTCCACCAAAGCTGTTACGGATGCAACGAGTTTATTCACACGAAACAACCAGCGCTCAGCCGACGCCGCGAAATAGCCACTGCTCGATACCGTCCTTCTTCTTTTTTTTTCAGCTCTTTCAGACCACGTTACAACATATTTCGAAGTTCTCGCCCTCTTGATTGGTAGAGAAGCCGTGCAGCTTTCAAAATGCTGCCCGAAACTACTGAAATAGAGTATAATAATCCTGATCGTTAGCAATATGTTGTAATTCTTGCTTGGTGTGAATGCAGAGGAGCAAACATAACATTTCTGTATAATCTCGGCGGCTTGTCCTTATGTAGTCCGCATTGTATTCTCTGTTGTACGTGGCATCAGCGTCACCCAGCACGCTTGCAATTTAAAAAATGCACCAACTATGTGAAAAAAAAATGGTTCCAATCTCTTGAGCACCTTTGCTTCTGCTGCACGTTTTATGAAGAGCGTTACTATAAGATTGCAAGATAGCGTAGCCTGTCGCCCTAAAATTTTATCCTGAAAGAGACAGAGCCCTTTGCGTCAACTGGTGTGAGATTGCAATTTTGTCGTAAACATCTGCGTCGGCACAGGGTCAACCCGGCAAAGTAGGTCCACCTGGCATCCAAGGACGCCCTGGCGACAAGGGACCAGTTGGGCCTCCCGGACAGCCTGGACCACCGGGCATCCAAGGTTTGCAGGTAGAGCACGCTTTCTCACACTGTTCCCAATATTTGTAGCTGGTCTTCAATGGGCTATTCAACAAACTGAAGAAACAGCCGTGCGTGTTGTTTACAATGGAGACCCTAAAGTGACAATAAGATGATTTTTTCAGAAGTGGGACTATTTTTTTCGCCTCAACTTATTTCTGCGGCCTGTGACTGCAATTTGTACCAATAAATCGATGAGCCCAAAGACATAACTGTTCATTGTAGCATTGCGTCTGACCGTTTTCCTTGTTTTGATCAAGTGGTGATTAACCACACTTGGAACTTGGCGGCAAAACTGATCCGCTTTAAAGCAGACACTGCTGAAAATTTCACACAAATAGTTACATGCGTACATTGCAAGGACAACCTAGAAGTGGAATACGGTTGAAAGGAAAGTCTTTTATTGAAAAAAAGGAGTGAGCTTGTCTTCTGTGGGGATAAGTAGAAATTTAAAAAAATGTTTTAATATTATTTATTTATTATTGCATTACTCACAGTGCCACATCGCCTTACAGTGGAGCGAATAAGAAAATAAATCAAAGCATACAGATGGCAGCAATCTATAGGTTCGTCAAGAAAACATACATAAATACGTATACACGAAGATGAATAGCATACACTATAGTGCACGATTGTGAATATATGTGCGAACAAAGAATTAAAAAAAGGTTAAAGGTACACAAGCATACATAAGAACAATTTACAATTAAATATACTATAGATATAAAAACACATAAATGTATGATCACGAATGCACAGTACAAGAAATTACAGGCACAAGCATGAAATAGAAGCGGCATGAGGAAACAGCAACTCTAACACAAAAAGAAATACTCTAGCAGGGCGTGAAATATATAATTATACGATATATTTGCGACAGCCTTATCTAATTGATTCTAGTCTCGTATTGATTTAAGAAAAAATACTTACTAAAGGAGTTGCAGGGAAATTCCGAATCTTTATTCTCGAGGTTAACCCTATGGGAATCGTAGTTAGGGTGATTCTATGTGAACTTGCCTATTAATGCCAACTTTTAAATGAAAGACGCAGTGAAAAAACTTCAAGCGAAGTCTTCGTCTTCGACAGTCTAGTGTATCCCATTGCTATAATTCTTTGGCGCGGGTAGGACTGAAGTTTCTGTCATAATGTTTACAAACAAATCGAGTGGCCAACTTCTGCACCCTTTCAAGTTTTAATGTGTCACATACCGAAGAGGGGTCCCAAATGACACACGCATAGTCAAGAACGGAGAGCGCATACCCATATGTTTTATAAAGCAAATGTTCAGTTGACAAATCAAAGTTCTTTTTGTTACGGCGAAGGAAACCAAGAGCGTCCCCGGCCTTGCCTGTTACATAGTCAACATGTCGCACCTAATTTAAATTAGGGCATAAATTAGGGCCCAATACCTAACTGGGCATAAGTGACGCTAGCGAAAAGGCCGCGAGCGCATCAAGAGCATGGCATGTAGTGATGTTGTTACATGACACGCATGTCAGGACTTTATTTTTAGGGTCTGTCGCTTGTGCTCGCCATGCAACCATGACATGCCATACCCGTTTTGCAACTTGCCACGTGAACAAAACCACCGCAAAAGCTGCAGGACCATTAAATATAAATCATGACATTCACGACATACTTTTCATGATTTTTATGTTATCACAAGTCAAATAGGTTCTTCATACAGTCATGTTTTGCCATACCAAGTTTGGTATCGATAACATTATCGGAATAGCGAGGAAAGCTAAATGTCGTAGGCGGCTAGATAGATAGATAGTTGCGCTCGAAGTGGTCGAAGTTCGCTAATAAATGCTTCGCATTTAAAACTTCATCCCCAGCATTATGTCAGTACACAATCTGGCACTAGTACACGTTGGAGACACTGGTACACGCTGGTGTTTAATGGAACTATGCTGGGCGCAATGGGAATCATCTGTGTTGCACTGGTAGGGGCGGTGGCTTAACCGCTGTGATGTTGGAGCACAGTGCGAATCACAGGAATTTTCACTTGCAAGCACTGGTGAATAATCGAGCACGCACTGATTCTTCCAGCTTAGCGTGCACAATGATGTAGCGTTTGCCGCAGTATGTTTCGGTGTCGTTGAATACGAAACACTTGAATTGACAACACAGAGAAATTCTACCCTGACAGAAACCGAGCATACGTAATATTTGCGGCGCAACTACGTATTGCAGCCATAATAATGTATCTTTTTAGCATGTGCCCCCGCGTAAACCGGCCACATTCGCATCAGCTGTGTGGTGCTAGAAGATTCGTAATAAGTTGCGGTGTTTATAAGCCTGGAGCTGCACGCCACTCTGAACAGAAACAGGAAATTGTTTTGCCGCCAACTTGACGAAATGTAAACGAACTCTCTCGATCGCTTCGCAAGGTTTGCCAGCAAAGGCGAAAGGAAAAGCTGTCGTTCGATTCCACCACACCACGTAAATGGATGTCTGGCCATGCTTATCCTTCTACTTACTTCAAGCAACACTAATAAATGTTTCGAAGCTCAAATGAGGAAAATTCTACCATCCCAACTCACCGCATCGAAAGCGGTCTTACACATTGCCCGACCCAGCGAGCATTAGGTCTATCGTGCCAGCCTAGTCAGTGTGTATTGCCACAAGGTCTGCTTGAGTGATATTCATGAGTGAAAGAGGACAAAGCCGATCTATCTAAGCTGATGCTTGGCTAGTTGACTCAACAAGCCCATTATATCAAATCTGTCGTGAGAAACGTGACAAGACTGATGGAGGTGCTGGATACAACGTCTCACAATCCACCCGATGCCGAAGACCCCGCCCAGCAGCCGGAACACATGCCCTGCATCTGTGGACACTCCTGTTCACAGAGTAAACTGCCGCCAACGAGTCCTACCAACTGAGACACCAACTACTGACGCAGCGACTATGAATTCGACAAAAGATCTTGTGCAGGCTACGACATCTTCCACGCCGATCTACTGCACCGTCTAGAACCCCCTCATGCCTAGCCCCTTTCACGGAGCGCAGCATGAAGATGTTGACTGGCTCAGTGAGTTTGAACGTATCGCAGCGATCAATTACTGGGATGATGCCGCGAAGCTCCGGAACATGTACACTTGCCTAAAGGACAGTGCCAAGACGTGGTTTTTGAACAGGGATGATGTTCTGACATCTTGACGTGAGTTCCAGCGTCGCCTTCTAGAGACCTTCAGGAGTCCCGACCGCCGCGAATGGGTGGAGTGTGCACCACAATCACGCATCCAGATGCCAAACGAGACCGTCTCTATGTACATTGAGGCCATGACACTGCTTTTCAAGCGAGCGGATCTTGCTATGGCAGAAGAAAAATCTCGCGCCACCTCATGCGTGGTGTGAAGGAAGAACAATTTGTTGCTTTGATGCGTAGTCCCCCAAAAGATCTGCTGAGTTACTGACGCGGCAACAATGGGGCAAAAAGTATTGCAGCAACGGTCTGACCTGTTTGACCGTCAAGCGAATGCTGCCCCAACTCCCGAAATATTCGCCACCCTTTTGAGCGAGAGCCCCGAATGTATTCGCGAGGTCATCCGCTCCGTCGTCCGCGCAGAAATAGAAAATATGTACAGGACAAGGCGAATCGATGTCGGTTCTATCGCCAGTGTCATCCGTGACGAGATCCAGCAGGTGCTGCACGCCCATTGTTCTTCGCCGATGTTGGTTGATCCGGAAACGGCTCCTGCGTATATTGGCAGTCGCGGTCGTACGTACGCGGTAGCCTTGCGATCTGCTACGCCTCTTTATGGTCAAGGAGTCCCGACCTAGACAATGCCACACGTTCCGATCCAGCCAGTGCTGCACGTCCCGATCCAGACAGTGCCACACCTTCCGATCCAAACAATGGCATACGTTTCGATCCAAACAATGATGCCGTCAGTCATGATTCGGTCAGTGCACGCTGGTTTGGACATCGATAATCGCCGTGCACCAACGCGCAAGTCTGACCTCAGCGTACGCGGTACAGACGACGCCTCTGCTATCAATGCGGTGAGGCTGGTCACATTTACCGCGAATGCACATACCGGCACTTGGACTTCGTTGATTTTTCATCAATTCCCCTCGTCCCCGATTTGGTCAATGGCCAAGGAATATCGAATGGTATCTCGTGCAACAGCGGGCACCCTTCACACGATGGTAATCGCGGTCATCATCTCCGAGGAGACCGGCAGCCACTAGGTCACGTTTTGAGGTGACGACACGGGAACACTCCTCGAGCCCTCATCGAGAAAACTGAAGGCAGCGGCCTTCAGTTTTCTCGACAAAATATACTTCTAAGCAAATATATTTATTACCTTACTTATCGCGACATTGGTAATTACGTATGAGGTTTCACATTGATACTTCGTACGAGTGAACTCTATGTAAACTTTCTTATTCAAGTTTAACAGCATGTGACACCAAATCTATTGCAAAAAACTACGTACACAGCGTGATGTCAATACGCTTTCTGGCACTGGTACACGCTGAAGACACTGGTACACGCTGGTGTTTACTGGCATTTTGCTGTGCGCACAAGGAAATATCTGTGTCACACTGGCAGGGGCGCTGGCTTAACTGCTGTGATGCTGGTGCACACTGCGAATCGCTAGAAGTTTCACTGGCAAGCGCTGGTGAATACGACAGCACGCACTGATTCTACCAGTGCAACGTGTACAATGATGTAGCGTGTTCCGTGGTATGTTTCGATGTCGTTGAATATGAAACGCTGGAATCGATGGGGCAGAGAGATTCTGCCCTGACAGATACCGAGCATACATAACTTTTGCGGCGCGCGTACGTACCACAGCAATTACAATGTCCCTTTTTCGTATGTGCCGCTGCGTAAGCCGGCCACTTTCTCGTCAGCCGTGTGTTGCCCTAACGATTCAGTGTTACGGTGTTTATAAGCCTGGAGCTGCACGCCACTCTTAATAAAAACAGGAAACTGTTTTTGCCGCCATGTTAACGAAACGTAAATGATCTCTCTC